TTATAAAAAAAAACCTATGTACATCACGTAGTCTGACGTTCCTTATTCGGAAGATTGTGTTTGTTTTTCTGTTCTGTTAAATTATTAGGAGCATTTAGCTCCACTGTTGACATTCTTTTGTTATAACTTTTGTAAATACATTTTGTTACAATATCGACTAGTTCGCACTTGATTTTCCAGTAACATTTCTTCCCAATATTGCACCCACAGTGAAAAATAGAGGGGAGTAAACACATAACACTTAACTCTAAGCCATGACAATAACAACAATAATGATTACACAACGAATTACGCGACAGAATGACGACACATTGTGACATTGATTTCATCTCCGGGCCCAGAGAATGACAGTCATGCCATAAGTTAAATAACACAGTGACTAAAGAGGGCATTTTTTTTGGGAAGGATCGTGATCTTATTATCTCCATCACGGAGGCACAGCCAAAGCACAGCATTTGAAAAAAATAATAAACACGGAGCTGCGACAAGTTCATTCTTCATTCGGGGCGCAATGCGCGCTGTAACACAAAAGAACCATATCAGAAAGAGGGCTGAGGGGAAGGTTTGACACTGAACTGTTGACACAATTACGGGTTATTGCTGCCGCACAAAGGGCGCCAGATAAATGGTGGCCCACAAACCTCTTTCTCTTTTTTTAGTTAGTGCACTGAATGCACGCCTGTGGATGGGTTGGCCCTCTCACCCAGAGTCATAAGGCGCCTTGGGCAAGTCAGAGACGGTAGGGGAAATCAGGCATACCCACCCACACGGTTGAATCCGGAACAGTAAAACTAAAAAAAACACAAAGGGTCACAGGTTGCATACATGAAGAGGTACAGACCCCGGGGCTAAGGAACAGAAATGGCGTGTATACAGATCGCATCAACTTAGTCAAATAAACATTACTTTATCCCCTACGCTCCTTTTTTTTGCAGTCGCTACGAGCCGCGCTGCTGAACGCCGGGAGCGGATCAGGTATATAGAGAGGACTGGTTGGTAGGCCCGGGTAGGCCAATAGGCGACAGGGGGCATTTCAATTATTTCTCGTCCAGCAGCAGCGGTGGCGGCGGTGGCGCGAGGAGGTGCGTAGTGTAGAAAGTACACGATCCACCTGTAATTGCCACGCCACGCCACGCCCCGCCACGACCTGCCCCGCGCGTCACCTTTCACGAGTCTGGCCTGCGGGGCCTGCGGCCTGGGCCGAGGCCTGCGCCTGGAAGGTGGTCCGGGTCGGACCAGAAACCACTCACCCCGCTCATCAGCGAAACCCTCATCCATAAGGGGGGGTTTTCGGTCCCGCAAGTTTAGTTGGCGGCGGCCATTCTATAATCGTTTCCATTATGTTTTCAAAAAGTGAGACAGAAAAATGCTTATGCAATTCTTAAACAGCAAGCTCAGTTTTACAAAGAAAGGTTTTCGCCTGCGTGCAGCTCAGCACATGCCAGAGCCAGACATGTACCAGACTGCCATGGCGGCATGCACCGCTTAACGACAAATGGCGAATGAGGAAGTTGACCGATAAGAGGAACATAAAGAAGGTAGCGCTGAGGAGGTGGCGTGGCGTAGCGCCGTCCCTAAGTTATGCAGATTGCTGGCGACCATACTGTGTTTTGTCGCAAGTGGATGTGTGATCATAAATCGAGTTTTGTTAAATTTCTAAAGAAAATTTGGGTCCTTACTAGACCGGCGTAACAATCTTGTGTCAAAGAGTGCTTCTGTAAAGTTTGGCTTCGGAAAAGTAAGTTTATACAATCTTCTAAAACGTCCCGGTGTCGTTGTTTAGGTTAGTGTACGCGGACATATTGCATTGGTACAATTTTAACTCAATGATAATGACTTAACTGTCGTAAAAAGCTTTGATATAGGTGGCACCAAGGTGCTGGGCGTATAGGCCCCTTCTAAACTGTTTGAAATCTTACGACACGCATCCTAAGCTCTGCTAGACTGTCGCTCATCTTTTGCTTTGTTTAGGGACGGCGCTACGCTACGCCACTACGCCACCTCAGTGCTACCTTCTTATTGTTCCTCTTATCGGGCAACTTCCTAATATAAACGCCAGAACACCGTGATGGTTTTCCAACAGAGTCTACAGCTGTAAGTACCAACCTGCATCCTTGTAGGCCGGGGCGGGGCATCCGGGGGAGCCCGGGCGCTGTCCGTGGGGATGGACCGGGCCGGGATCGGGGATCGGCGGCGCATTCGAAGAGAGGGATCCGCGGGGGATCCAGGACCCGCCCCCCGGTCCGGTCCCGCCCCCGGGGGCCGCGCGGGCCTGCCGCGGGTGCCTCAGAGGCGGCGGGCTGCGGCGGTGGACCACAGCCAGGCCCAGGCCGCGAGGGCGAGGAGCGAGAGGCTGCCGGCGGACAGCGGCGCGGCGGCCGAGACTGTGGACAGCACGAGAGCAGAGCGCGCGGGTGAGCTTGAGCTATGAGTGAGCAGCATAGTAGCATAGCATAGGGCGGGCTACAGAGACTCCACGAGCAACGTTAGCAAAGAATGTTCCAAAAAAGCGTATGATGACTACCTCTCAAAATATCTACGTGTTTCTAAGGGTACTGAGTTACATCTTACTTCCCATCCCAACACCATTCAACAATAATAAGTCGTATGCCTGCCGAAAAGTGCCGTTTGAGAGACCTTCAATGATATTGTACCGTCATAGGTAAAGGGAAACATAGTCGTCACATAGTAGCTTCACGTGTTCAACAAGTATGCTGTTTAACTCATGCGCTGGAGTGGAAACTTTGAACACTGGGAAGTGTTTAACTTTCCACACCAACACATGTTAGGGCTTGCCAGTTGAACGCTTCAATTTATAAGTGCAGGCTTCAGGAGATCCTGCACCTGCCATTCCCCCACAAGTGAGCACGCCGCCGTGTGCCCGGCGGAGCGCATGCCAGATGTATTGCCTACTCGCCGGCGCCGCCCTGCTCCAGGTGGAGCAGGGCGGTGGTGCGCGATGAGTTGCCTACCCACGGGCGGCAGACAGAACCAGTCCCAACAACCACCCGGCACCGACACCAGAGCAAGTCAACAACAACTAGAGTGCTCGTCTACTTACGTGTGCACCGAACTTTGTACTGGTGCCTCAGGCGGTAGCTGCTGAACTTTAAAGCAGTGACATTTTCCATGCAAGGGACCGTCGCAAGGCCCCGGTGCACGTCATTTCGCTCCTTACCGTCGGCCGCCCGGTGCACGGACTCCAGGGGCACCCCGCCCTCGAGCGCGCCCTCCGGGGCGGCCTCGGTGCTGTCGGCGGGGCCCCCGGGGGGCGTCGGCGGCAAGGGGGTGGTGGTGGTCGGGGGCCGCCCTGCGTTTGCGAAGAGATGTTAGGTCACACACAGCGTTAAGGGCTGCCGTTATAACTCACAGCAACAAGCATTAGTAACGGTGGATTATGTTTGACAGCGACTAGAACCACTCGTAGTTTCAGCACAGAAGAAAACAAACAAAAATTGGGTTATGGACGTTAAGTATAAACAAAGGTGC